GGACAAATATGATCCGCTATTAATCCACGACGATAAAGATTTGTCATAATGGAAAGACTATTATGCACTGATCTCCAGCAAAATTGCTTAAGTTTAGGTGGCGCCTCAATCCTCCAAACGGCCTTATAGAGAGTTGGAATCAGAGGATGCTGATAAGTACTAGAGTTATGTGAATATAAATTTTGCTGTTGAAAATTATGTTGGACATAATAACCATATTTAACATTAAATTATCCATTTTTGAATATATCCAGATTAATGTATCACTTACTTGAACAATGTGATATATGTCATATTTTACTATTTTTAACTATGTTTTATTAGATTTTTGACCAAGAAACTATTTGGTTTCGATATTTACCTTATGTTTATAGTGTTTTTGTGGATTTTATAGTCTTTACAAGAAATTGGAGCATTTTGGATAAAAAAATTATGGAAAACAAGCATTTTCAAGACAAGACAGATCATGATCGTCAAATATTTTGCATCAGATGGAGATGTTCCAACTGTTCGATCAAACTTATGTTTACCACAAGATAGATGGGACTGTCAGCGTCAAATATTATATCAGATCGTGGAAATCCAAAAGTGCAATCGCAAGATATGCCCAATTCAGTTAAAACTTTTTGATGAAGGTTAGAGTTAAAAGCCACTCTGGTGAAAGGGAGGTGACCAGCCGATCACCACCTCTCATCAATTGATGTTGCTAACGGCGTTTTGGCATCAAAATAGGATTTTTCGACTTTATCTCCTTTTCTTCAAGGGGTTTATCCTAGAACCGATCTATCGCTTATAAAAGCACACTACAACCACAAGATTAAAAAATGAGAGCATAAGAGCCAACAAGTCCAAAAAAGTCATTCATCTCCCTTTTCAGACCAAAAGCTTGTAGTGTTATTTGATATTGTTTGGTAAGAGAGAAGATGTCACCTCTTTGTACTAATTAGAGCAACTTTTTGAACCTTTTTACTCTTACTGACTATGCTTTTTATCGTTATGGCTTTGATGATCATGTTTAAGTTTGAGTAGTCTTTTGCTAAAGGGTAATGTAAGGGGGTTTCATGGTTCGATACATAGGATTGATTATTAGAGTGGCGCTTTTGATTGATCATAAGTAATCTTTCATATAGATCTGGTTTTATTGCATGTTTTTTGTTTCGTTATCTTGAAACTGATCATAGACGATAATTGCTTGAACATCACTTGATTTAGTGTCTTGAACATGGTTTTTGACGAATCTAATCATCTAAGCCTCCGAAAAATGAGTTATTTGAATTGGATGAACGATTGAACTCAATATATTTGCATGTTATTTATGTTATTAACTGCGAGAGTTGAGTTATAGCATAGATTTTTCATAGTGGTTTTCGGCTACGAGAGTTGGGTCAACATGGGTCAACATGTTATAATGTTCATGTTCTAAAATAAATAAGATTAGATCAATTACCGAATAATTCAAACTCCTGCCCAAAGTTTTCCACATATTTACAACCGTTTCATTGTATACCATTTTAGAGTTATAAACATATGTTGCATTTATTATAACTACTAGTGTTTACATTTGATTTCATAAAATCCCGAATATATAAACAAGCACAAAGATAAGAGAAAGTGAATAAAAATATGGATGAATCATTTAAGAAAGTATAAGAAAAAAAGATACATAAACTTATAGTAATTATCGAATCGTTAAAATTGAGTGACAAAATTGACAATGAAGAGGCCGAATATTTGATGAAAATGCGCGGATAACTTGCTGAAGGATCCAAATAATCTCTATACAATTTTTCTAAAATATGAAAAAATTAGAGAAAATCATTAAAATACCAAATATATAAGTTTTGTTTTCAAAGATAACACCATTAGTATAGTTATAAAAAAATATCACCAAAATTTTTTGTTTTCCAAAAATACCACGAACACAAGAATTGATTTACAAAGATTTATAATTTAAATTGTATAGAGACTAAGATCGCGTTTTTTTTAGGCTTAAGGTATTTATATTTCATATCGAATAATAACTCTATAATTTGTTATTTAAAAAAAAACCATGTGAAATTGGACAGTGTACCATTCAATACTTAAAAATAAAACATGTTCCAAATAATACTATCATGATATGTATCAAGCCGTAATTCTAAAATTCCATATTTTTTAGTTGTTGGAAACCACAAATCTGAATTTACTATTTTTAATTACTATTATGACAATTTTTCTTTTATCACAAAAAATATTGAAAACTATTTTTTTATCAGTGAATATTTCTTTTAAAAGGAAGAGTTCCATATAAATAATTCAGAAGATTTTCTTCAACATCGACATGTTCTTATCTTACCAGTCTCATATCCATAAATCTTTACTATTGCAGATAGAACATTTTAAAATATAAAAAGATTTGGA